CCTATTATTTTTTCACCTTCCTTTTCCAAGCACAGTCAAGATTCTTGCTTTCAAGTTTGATAGTATTACAGCTCCTCAACAAAACAGTCACAATTAATGTGTTTTTCATGCTTCTCTAAATTATCTGGAAAACTCCCTAAGCAGAAATTCAGGTCACTCCAGACCTCTTGCAGAGAATATTGCAGGTTAGGTGATTGAAATTTGACAAAGTTATTCGTAACTGAGATACATTCTTACAGTGAGAATAGTAAGATAGCCTTGATGGTAAGTACTGGTGACAAATTGGGTTTTATCTATAATAAAAATCTAGTCCCTGGTATTTCCCTGGCAGTTACGGTTATCACAAATAGAGGTCATGATTTGTGTAGTGTCCTTCCTGTGGAAGGATAGAGCCTTCTCTGGGAGTAGCTGCAGCAGACTCCCAGTCCGGCTCTCAATTCCCCTCAGAAACATCATTTAGTTTAGTTATGAAATCCAGGACATAGAATAATGGTGATTTATGGGTTTTCTCTGCATGTGTAGTTGTTTATAAAGTACATTTCAATAATTAATCTTCAAAAGGCTCATTTCTCATAATCAGTTCTGTTGAGAATATCTCAACATTTTGGGCTCTATGCTGCCAAGCTATTTGCTTTAATAATAGTAAAAATAGAATTTTTGAGCTGTTAAGCAAAGTAATTTTATTTATAAGTATTGTGCAATCACAGTGAAGTTCTTAACCTGATATTAAATCAGACAGAGACAACTTATCTTGCATGTTTACTGCCTGGATTGAATAGTAACAAGAATTGCATCACTTTTCAACAAGATGGCTGCCACCAGGTTTGAACCCTTTTATTTACCAACTGCAGCTGAAACGGCTTCAAGAAACATTGCACCATTTATTTTTGTCCACAAACGAGAATTTTTTTCATTTCCATCTGAAACACTGTTACAGTTCTGAACGACGCAGATGAACACAGTTTTTCTTCAAGCAAACAATTGACAAATCCTGAGAAAAAGATGTTTGGACAAAGAGCCTATGCATTTTGAATTCTTCAGTTTTAGTCCAGAATTATGAAATACCAAGATCTCACCAGGATGTTATCCTCAATTTCCCTATTTTCCCATTTGTTCCATGATTTCATCCCTCCTTCTTGCCCATAATCCTCTCTTGTGATTTTTGACTTGAAGAAACTTTTAAACTGACTGCTAACGAGGGAGAATAATTTTAAAAGTATTAAAAATCTGTATGGGAATTGTATAGGTTCACATTGTATCTCCTAGGATGGGTTTTTTCTGATATTTAGATCTGTCATAATTCTGCATTATATTGTTTGCATTGTCAAGACAATGCATTATTTTTCTTGCCTTCTATTTAGCTTGAAGCACTTGGAAAGAAATGGGAATAAACAAAAATTTATAAAATAAGTTGCAGTCTAAGCCTGTCATCTGAAGTAGGCCAGCATTAAGTAGTCTAGGATTGATGAAGCAGAACTGCATTAGATGAGCCTGGGAGGACTAAAAGTAATTTCTTTCACTCTGACTTCTACAGTAATTCAACTTTTTTCAGGAAACTACCAAGAAGATTGATTTTTCTAGTTCAGTTTACTCTGGAAAGTGTCTTTTCCTTCCTGCATATGCAATCTGAAAATTTTAAAGGCAGATTAGATTTTTTAAGGGATATTAGCACACATCATGTGTCAGATGAATTATACTCAGAGCTGTAGCCACAACATGGGTGATCTACAGGTTCATTTTGTGCTGCATTAAACCCTTCTGCCAGTATATTGGAAAGGCCAAGATAAAGAATAATATAGCCTCTGTATTCATTTGAGATCTGTCTCTCAAGATGACAAAGCGACTCCAGGACTGCTGAATGTCTTCTTTGATTTCCACTTGTTTCATGAGTGGAGCTCAGTGCTTTAAAGTGTTGCTCGGCATGCTACAACAGTAGTGTTTTTAGTGTAACCACAGCCAGTATAGTAAATCCCACTGATGAATTTTGCTATAGGAATGAGGTATGATAGAACAGATTTTACTCTGGTCATCAGTGTGTGTTTACATGACACCAAGTGGTCCCCTTTGCCATTAGGGGTTATAAGTTTTGCTGGTGTGATACAAAATAAAATAGCAGGCAAAGATTTGTTCCATTTTCTTAGCTCCCCTGCTGTGTTTGCTGTGCATAGCCCCTTGTAACTGGAATACGTTGTCATCCATAAAGATGTTGATGCACCTGAAAATCATACTAGATATAGGAAAGCAGAGCTCAGGGAGGTTTGCATGCATGTCCCTTCTGCATTTACAATCAAGAATAGTGTCTGTTAGGTCTGTAGCTCTTTATCATGGTAATGTTCATGGACAACCAGTGATTGTTGCTCTCCTGAGTGAATTGGTACTCTTTTGCACTGAGAAAACACGTAAATTTGGACTGAAAGAAAACTTTGGAAACTTTGTCCCCAGAAACAAAACTGGGGAGAGTGAAGAGATTTCTTAAGGTGAATTGTCATGGTACAGGAAGTGTTTTAGCAAACAGTACAATGGAACAAGACTGTATCGCATTAAGTCTCCTAATTAGATACCAAAGAAATGATACCATGACAGTAAAAGATCTCCTTTGATTTTTGTTTATCCTTCTTCCACTGGGAAAGGTGAAGTACCCTGTCTGTACAGCTTAAAAGTCATGCACTTAGACAGTTGTTGTGTCAGCCCCGCTTTAGAAATGGTGGTTTAAGAAGGCTCAGTGCAAGGATTTTTAGAGGAGTGCTGAATTATTTTTAAATGTGTTTATTGTACATGTACTCAGATACAAGTTTTGGCCTCAAGCTTCGTTTATTGACTTCTGATATACAAGGTATGACTGTGAATTAGGAACAAGACTACACAAATACCTGGATGAGCTAAAAGCACTTGGGCTAACCAGCATTCATGGGTTTTAAAGTCTACTTTTGACATGGGGGAAAGAAGGAAAAAGTAACAGTGAATAGGGGGAACAACCTTACTGATGTAGGGGAAAGCTACACTGTATGAACAGTAGGAAATGCTGTAGCTTAGGGATCTGTAATGGCTTTCATGTTCATTTATTGCACAGCATCCTCACTTGGAAACCAGAAGGCAGGTGTGTCACTTTCAGTGGTCCTCTCTTTTCTGACATTTAATTTCAATTAAAAACTATGACAATTTAGAGCTTTATTCATTAAACTGAAAAACAAAAATGCAAGGATGTCCAGGAGATTATTGGCTTCTTCTTAATCATGCTACCCATTTCAATTCAATGTAAAGATTGTCTGCAGGGATTGGCACCTGAAAGTTAAAAAGACAAACAGCCTTTTCTAATAAATTAATATAACTGTCTGCTCTTTTGATTTTATTAAAAAAAAATAATTTTTAAATTACGTATTCCAAAGACATTGCAAAAACTGTTGTTAAGTAGAAATAATCTATTAAAAATAATTTAAAATTTATGCAGCACCGAAAACCAAATCTTTAGATGTTGAAATTAGTGTTCATCTTCAATAATCCTTAAACTGAAATAATATCTCCCAATCAGATCAGCAGATTCTTATTTCAGACAATTAAATGGCATCTTGGAAATAAAAGAAAATTAATTTCCAACTGTGCTGATCTAACATAGATTTTGTCTTTCAATGCTGGAATTCTCAAAAGGCAAAGGATTTCAATGTTTAAATACCAAAAGTATAAATGAGTGGAGTCAGTTATTACTTCACATATAGTAACTGCACATAAGCTTCAAATCTGAATGGTGATGCAGAGTTCCCAGTGCTTTGTGTAGGTAAGACAAACTGATAAAAAAGTAAGATGATCCTTCATATATAGCATTTATTAAATATCTATTTTCTGTATTTAATTGAAAATTGTTTGTTCGTGGAGTGGGAATAATTGTAACTTGTATTCCCTTTAAACCTACTTGCTGGGGAAACATGAAGGAGTTATTACATAAGTAAAAAAAAAAAAACTATGTACAGAGGATTAAATCAGTAACAGACTGCTTTTGCAAATCCTAGGTACTGTACCATCATTTTGCATCTGAGAAAGCTACCTCAAAAGTAATGTCAACTTTTCAAATTGCTGAGTGTCGAGGGAGAAGAAAAGGGTGAACATCTTGAGCAGTTGACTGTGGGTGTTTGTTGTATTCAGTCTCCCCTAATTACTTGTAGTGTGACAAAACTTATGCTGCATGCATAATTTTTAAATTCATTTTTTTAAAAAATTAACTTTCCTTCATCTAAAAATCTGTGATTCATATGTTTTTAACTCAAAGAGCTCTTGCAAACACTCCAAACTAGTGTGTTTTGGGGCAGTTATTTGAATAAAAAATGCTGCTTTTCATGGCTTGCCTAACTGGGCTCTGGTCACACAGGCGGTGGTATGCAGCTTATCCTGGTAGGCTTAATTGCTGCTAATGTTCTGTTTTCATGGCAGTAGGATTTTAAAGGAAAGCAACTATGGGAATACAAAACAATTTTTGCTTTATTCTTCAATACATGGGACTTTTTTTTCCTCCATGTCCAAGTTCACTTGCAGCAAGTCGTACACATACATATGGTTCTCATGAGCATCTGCCTGCCTAGAGAACTGTGAAAAGTAATTGTGTTTTGATGGGGTTTTTTAACTTTATGTTCCCCAGAATGAAAGAAAAACTTAATTAAGGTTTGTAGATAAGATCTCTAAGGAAAGACCATTGTAGGAATTTACTTTTGCTGGTTTTGTTCTGAGATCTTGAAGTCTATTTCCATTACTGGACAGGACTGGCAAATGAATTGCAATTAAAGGCACAATAGCAAAAGAGATTAAATACAGAAATGATAACTGACAGTGTGGGCTTCCTTCAGTCCTTTTGTTGGATAGAAAGTGTGGCTCCAAGTCCTGCACCAGACTTTAGTAAACTGTTTTACCCTGTTGACCCTGGAGTCTAGTTCTCCTGAGCAATGCATGAACAATGAGGATCTGGGTTTCCCTTCTGCTAAATGAAAACTCTTGCTTTTCCTTCTTTCCCACAGGAGGAGAGGTTCCATACACAACCCTGGCAACCCGACTGATGATGGGAGCTTGGTGGCTTTTTGCTTTGATTGTCATCTCCTCCTACACAGCAAACCTAGCAGCTTTCCTCACCATCACACGCATTGAGAACTCCATCCAGTAAGTTGATAAAGAATGATTCAAGGGAAAGGAGGGCGAACATAAATATACATGTAGAGGGGTATGAATGTTCTACTTAAATGTGATAAAAGGAATAAATTTTTATCATCTTGAGAAGCTGGAAAAATAACAATATACCATAGACTGTCAGTCTCCCTGGAGATACGTTGTTTTTAGGATCAAAATTTTTGGCCTCTAGCAGATACTTTTCCCTGTGGCGCACATACATATGTATATATGCACACATATGTATTTTGAAAGAAGCAACTGAGTTTGAGATAACCAGTGTATTAGTGCTCGAAATGGGAAAGTGTAAATTGTTGCTGTGTATACCAGCTGTGCTTTCTATTCAGGCATATCCCACAATACTTGTGTTCTGACACTTTGATCAGGGAGAACCCAATGCTTCTTCAATGTATGGAGAGCTCAAAGCTGAATTCACCTATTCTTGCCAGGGCAAAGATGTGTTAGCAGTAACAAACCATAAAAAACTCACTCATTAATCAGCTTTGCTCCTTCTGCTCTCAAGTGTTCTCTTACCACACAAGCAGATCGCATTGTTCTTTTTTACCTATTGGTTCTTTTGCTTGAGGCCTCCCTAACATGAGTGTCCTTGTCTTTTCCTGTCCTTTTTATAGTGAACTCTCTTTCTGTCATACATTCCAGTCCTTTTTTGCAGACCATCTCTCCATACCACAGGAATCTTTCTAGGCCTCCTACCCTCTCTCTGACCTTTTGTACTCCAGTATTGTGCTGATTTAAAGATAAACCAGGAGGAGAAATGAACCCAACTCAAAAGGTATTATAAGTCAGAATTACAATTTAATAAAAATAATACAATAAATACAATTATACAGATAAACAATTGGTTTTAACCCACAAAACCCAGATGTATAACCCAGTGGCCTGGGGCACAAACAGAATGGTGTTCGTTGGCCCCCGTGCTGAGCCCCACGTGGTCCTCCTGGGTCCAAAGTAAAAGAAAAAGAAGACCTGTTGGTGAGAGTGCTGGTCACAGTCTGGTCGAGGGTGGTGATTGCAGTCCACTCAAGAGTGATGGTTGCAGTCCGGTTGAGGTTCTAGTCCTCCTCTGGATCCTACGAGTGGGCCAGAAGTCCCAAGACCCCAAGATTATATACCCTCAGGTTTGACTGGGAATGCCCAGTACCTCCCCCAGGGCAGGGAGTTCCACAATGGATGATTGTGAGTCGTGAGATATTTTTGGAATCCTTGGTGGCCCATTAACAGACATGACCGCTCAGGCTAATGACTCCCTGGAGGGGAGTTATCACACCTGAGTCATTGGTATGAGGATAGGAACATCCTCCTGTCTCACCCAGCTTATAGCCTGAGGGGCCAGGTGTGCTCTGGGCAGCTGCTGCAAATGGTCTATTGTTAACAGTTCCTGGGAAATGGCATAGAGGATGTAGAATACACAGTTTGGGTTACACACACACAGCGATGAACTGGTCCCGGCTGCTCTAACTAGGACAAGTCTCCTCTCCTTCAGCAAGCTACATGCTGAGTTATCCTCACTCCCAATGCACCAGTGGCCTCCTCCACCTTCAAATGCTCACTCTTGGCTTAAAGCAGAGACTAGAAAATACAGTGAAGCATTAGCTAGCCAAGCACTCCAAGGGGCAGCTGGCCATTTCTTCATAGCAGGTTTTTAATCTTGAGGCAACAACTCCATATGTTGGAGTGACAAGTTAGCCTTTCCCATATATCCTTCTTTGCAAAAGAGGCACATTCTGCTGTATTTCTTCCTCCAGAAAGCTAAGAACCTGACCTTCAAGTCAGGCTCAATGATGGCCTTAGGGAAAATTCAGTTTTCTCAGTCATTGATTCAAGTCCCTGACTTCTGTGTATCATCCTCTAAGATCTTTCTGCCTCTAGTTCAGCTGCTTTCCAAACCTCTCTGAAATTCCCCTTGAGACAGCAAGCCACTGTTGCAGACTGAGTAGGAGGAGCCTTGGCCTATTGTGAATTCATAGGTTAGGATCAAACAGCACTGCATGGCAGCTGGTCACCATGCTCACACCAAGGCACTTTTCCTCTAGGTGAGGATTTTCTACATACTAAAACCAATCCAGGCTTTCATGGCACACAGGCAAGTAAACATCTCCAATAGCAGACAAGTTTCATTTGCAAGTTTCATTTGGAAAATGAAGTTCAGAACCAAGAACAGAAGCAGTCTAACTTCGAGTGCCTGGTTGTCTCCTGACTCTCCCCATTAGGAGCATCCTCTCACGCTTCATGAACCCTTTCTCCCTGCTTATTGGGTGTCCCTTGGCCCAAGTCACCCAGGCTTTATCAGTTCTTATTCATTCCTAGCTGGAAATTTGCTATGGCTGTTTCATTACCCTTCCTTTCTGGGATAACAACCCCAATGCTTTCCTCTATTAGAAGGCTAAATACCCTAAGACAGAGATATGTAAATGAGACTAAAATCACATTATGCAAATTATTAAACAATTAAAACAAGTGATGATTTTCTTTTTTGTTCTGAATAACAGACTTTGAGATCATGGAATGCTGCAGGGGACTTTGACACAACCCAACTGTTTGACTCCATAGTTTCAATTACAATCCCTTCAAAATGTATAGGGGAGTAAAATGATATTCTGTGTCAATGTTTGTCGACACTGAGCGAGAGGTTTTGAGGGAAGTTGGGTTTTTTGGGGGTTTTTCTAAGTTTAAAAAGCTTTAAATTTGAGTTAGGACTGTGAAGAATAAAACATGAGAATTTTTTCATGGAAAATAAATAATAGTTATATATTCAGTCATTCAGTTTGTCCTTACAAGAATGAAATATGCCTCTGCATCCTGTTTTAAAATCATGCCCCTTCTAGTTTTGAAGTAGTCCAGAAAAATGTTCAAATTACTGTGAAAAATGTCTGTGTTTTCTTATCATGTCTAAAAAAAGAATAAAATATACCCAAACTATAATTTAATACATCTTCAGCTTTTTCTTGCAGTTTATTATGATGTCACTAGAAAACCCTCAGTGGAAATCTGAGGTTGTTATGTACAGTTGGGACTACATTGGTCTTTGTGCTGTATTATTTATGGGCAAAGTCACTGAAAATGTTTTATTCAGTAGAAAATGTTGCAGCTGGAGAGCTCCTGGAATGAAAGAACAGAGACATTTTTCAACAGCACTTTCAGCTCAAAAATAGAGTAATTAAATGTGTTAAGTATCCATTAGGGAATGAAGTTATCCTAACTACGGCAGGAGTGTAAAACTTTAGTTTACAAAACTGCCAACATTGGAACTGAAACCAGCACATAAGAGAGAAGCTGTTTATTTATCATGCTGAATTACTGCAAAGTGGAAAACATGAATAAGCAATAAAGAAAAAAGCTGATGCTACACTTTTTTTTTTTTTTTTTTTTTTTTTTTTTAGCAGTTCAAATTGTACCTTGGGGAGCCTTGAAGGCCAGAATGGAAATGAGTATGAGCATTTGGAGAAAGTAATCGAGATTCTGGTTGTAGTACTATCCAGCCAGCTTCAGAGAAGTCAGAAAAATGAAAGAAATTGAAGTCAGTAGGTTTGCACAGATATAACAAGTAGTTAATAGGTTTTCATTTCCGATTTCCAGCTAGCATCAGATACTACAGTGTGTTGTTGAAGGTATGGTCCTTGTGATATCTTTTACAAAAGATAGGAGGATTCAAGCAGTCCACAGCATATTCCATTTCTGTGAAACTTTTTGGTAGTTACTGCATTTCAGCTTTTGGATATGAAGACAGTTTGTGTTCAGAGCTTTTGCAGCTTCCCTTTCTTGTCTGGTGTGAAGGTTGGATCACTCTTCCTAGTCAGTTCCTCATGGTATCCAGAATTCTATTTTGAGAAGCAAAGCATGCAAAATTTTGTTAGTCAGTGCACTAGGGAGGACTAGTTAAATGTACCCTTTCCCTAGAGAGTCTTGAAGTAGATCTTTTCTGTATAACCTCACTTGATGGCATTCATGCCCTGCTTCGGTGTTCAATTTGAATCAAATCGTTACAGTTTTTAAATTGATTTAGAAGAACTAGAAGGAAAAGAGTGGACATTAATCTCTTTTTCCAGACTAACAGCTACTTTTAATACTTTCGGGAGCTCAGCTTTTCATTTTCTGCCAATACACAATATTAAGAGTAGAGGCACTCAAGTTATAAAGTAGTTCCTGGATGCATCTTTTGTTCGCACTTAACCCACATTGCAAATGACATTTAAATCAAGACACTCAGCATTTCAAATGCCAAAACATTGTGGCAGCAAAGCAAAGCATAATTTCTGTGCTCCTTAAATCTTAAGATCACTGTCTCAAATGCAACATTAATTAATAGTAATTAAGAGTGGCTTTCCTTGGTAAATGCCAAATAAATTTGGAGGTCGTGAGCTATTTCTCATAGGTGCTGATGCTGTGAATTTAATCAGTAAGCCACTATTGACATTATTGTGTTTTATTATTCCTTTAGGACAGAATTAGAGTCCATGGGCAGAGATTGATTTTACTCAAACTACTGCACTGTTTTTTCTGGGTTAGAGGAAGGTGTCACCACCTTCTCATGGGCACTGAAGTTTTACAGGAAGGTTGGAGGAGTGGGGTGGACAGAGGAGTCAAACGATTTGTCATATGAAAGGCCAGTGTTAGATGGTTTCGAGTTTAATCTACTCCTAAAAGTGTGGAAGCTTAAGACTTCAGATTGTACGTGTTATGGGGAAGAGTCTGCATCTTATGTCTTATGTAAAACAAGTTCACATTATGCTCTCCATGTTACAACTAGTATGTCCTATTTGATAGGTGAGACCTCTACCTCCTAATACTGGAGGCATAGAGGTAAAGCCTGTCTTTCTTGCCCAGTCATTCTCTTCACGACATTTTTTTAAACCGTGATTCACTTGAAGCTAAGATGTCCCCAAGGCTTTAAACAGCTCAGTGCAACTGACTACAAGACTTCTGCAACTTCTACAAGACTTCTACTGACTTCTACAAGAACTCAGTAATTAGAT